TTATTCACATTAAATTCCATTTGCCAAGTGTTGCTCCATATACTTATTTTGTCCAGGTCTTCTTGAAGGGCATGACAATCATCTAAGTTTCTTATCTTCCCTATTATCTTAGCATCATCAGCAAACATGTTCATGTAATTGTGTATTCCCACTGGTAGATCGTTTATGTAGACAATGAACATTACCAGTGCAAGAGCTGAACCCTGTGGTACTCCACTTGTGACATTCCTCCAATCCGATACCTTGCCTCTGATTATGGCCCTCATTTTTCTGTCAGTTAGGAAATTTTTCATCCATGTTAGTAGCTTACCTGTCACTCCTCCAATATGTTCCAGTTTCCAGAACAACCTCTTATGGGGAACTGTCGAAAGCCTTTTTTAGGTCCAGATAGATGCAGTCAACCCAACCATCTCTTTCCTGTAAAATCTCTGTGGCTCGATCATAAAAACTGAGCAAGTTCGTTACACAGGGTCTTCCAGATCGAAAACCATACTGTCTGTCTATTATTATGTCATTTTCCTCCAAGTGTTCTACTCATTTAGTTTTAATTATTTTTTCCAATATTTTGACTATTACACTTGTCAATGATACAGGTCTATAATTAAGGGGGGTCTTCCCTGTTTCCACTTTTGTAGATTGGAACTATGTTAGCCTTTTTCCACACATCAGCTACAGCTCCTGTACACAGGGATGCCTGAAAAATCAGTTGAAGCGGAATGCTGAGCTCAGGTGCACATTCTCTCAGAACCCTTGGTGAAACTCCATCTGGACCAACTGCTTTGTTCTTACTTAGCTCCTTGAGCATTTTTTCCACTTCGTCTCTAGACACCTCTATGTGCTCTATGTTGTTCTCTGGAATTCTTATTGTATCTGGTTCCCTAAAGATTTCATTTTGTACAAACACACTTTGGACCTTTTCGTTTAGTGTTTCACACATTTCCTTTTCATCTTCCGTGAATCTATTTCCCATTTTCAACCTCTGAATATTATCCTTTACCTGCAATTTGTTGTTTATGAATTTATAGAATAGACCTAGTTCTGTTTTACATTTGTCTGCAATCCCTTTTTCAAAATTTCTTGCTGCCTCTCTCCTCACTGCCGTGTAGTTGTTTCTCGCATCTTTGTATCGCTGGTATGTTTGGGGGTTCGGCCTCTTCCTGTATTGATTCCATTTTTGTGTCTTTTGGTCTCTAGCCCTCTCGCAATTTCTATTGAACCACTCCTGTTTCCTAGTTCTGCATCTCTGTTTTGGTATAAATTTTTTTGTGCCTTTATCATATATTTCACAAAACTTGACATACATCTCATTCACTTCCTTGCCTAGCATCAAGTCTGTCCAATTATACTCACTAAAAAAATTTCTAAGGTCACCATAATGTCCTCTCCTGAAGTCTGGTTTTTCAACTGCTTCAACCTCCTTATTTTCTTCCAGCTTATAATGCATTGCATACTTTATTCCCAAAAAGACATGGTCACTTTTACCCAAGGGAGGAAGGTACTGAATGTCAAATATCTCTTCCTCCTTCCTGGTAAATATCAAATCTAGCATGGAGGGAACGTCCCCTTCCCTAATCCTCGTAGCTTGTTTAACATGTTGATACAGGAATGTTTCCAGGATGAGGTCTACAAATTTACAGGTCCAAAAATCTTCTGTTTTAGCTTCATATGCTTCCCAGTCTATGGATTTCAAATTGAAGTCACCGACTATCAACAGTCGTGATCAATCGTTATCCGCTCTCGCTATAATCTCTCTCATTATTGTTATAAGACCTTCACGTTTACTATCTAGCTCCTCGTTTGACCATGTGCTGCTTGGCGGTGGACTATATGCATTTATTATCATTAGTTTATCAAACAAAATAAAAATATTTTGGATTTTTCCTTATCTCTTGTATAGCTTTCTGTTCCAATTCCATTTCCTCAGACTCATATGATCGCTTCAACGTTTGTTCTATTTCCTCAATCTCCCTGCTTAGGCTTGTTTTCCTTGCGAGTGTGTGTGTGATAATTGTGTGTGTGTCTTCGAGTGTGATAATACCTATTTACAATGGTCAAATATCAGTGAATCAATGATGTTCACGATGTTCACAGCGACAGCCACAGCACCACAGCATTATTTCGTCCATCTAGGAATCTTCAAACGACTTCTTTATGTTCCCCTACAAATAAACTTGTGGTCAATTATTCATTTACAGGATTTAGTGACCAGGATTGTGATAATAATTAATTATCCTTAATCCTTAATAGCAGGATTGTGGTGATAATTCAACCCGTCCTCTTAAAAATAACGTCACTTTTGGCTCGTATGCGCGATATGGCTAAATTTGGACGTAATTTGAAATGAAATCGACTCACAAAAGTGACGTTCTGTTCCGTTTTCTATTTGAGTCGGCCGGCGTACACGCAGAGGTTATACGAGGACACTTTAAATTAACGTTTTTCATAACGTTTTGAAACTTTATGAGAATTTCCTGCCCACCTAACCTATCAGAGGACCCTTAACTTACTGTTGTTGAAAAAAAAAAATCCCAAATTTATTTTCATTTTTTTTCATTTTCAAATTACGTCCAAATTCGACCATACAGGCAAACGGCCAAAAGCGACGTTCTTTTTAAGAGGACAGGTTGGATAATTAGCACTGTGTGTAGTATTGTGGGAGGAGGAATTTTGGTGAGGGAGGAAATCATGGTAGCGTCACTGTGTGTGGCAGCCACTCTTGTTTTGCTCACCATATTAGCTTAGTGGTTTGCTATGGTGAACACACACATGTACATGGGCATATACAATGTGTGTGTATATAGTGTAATAATAGCAACAGGAGTATGTTGGGAGGAGCCATTTTGGTAAGGGAGGTGGCGTCGTACTCATAGCATCGGCTGCTGTGGGATTTCTCATGCAGTGTATGGTGGGTATTTAACATTTCAAAAACAAACAAAAGTTTTGCCAAGAATTTATTTCCTGCGCACAGGGTGAGGGGGGTCCCAAGCAGCACAGTGGTAAAGCCTAATTCTCTAGGTTGATATTCTTACAAAAGAGTAAAGATAGGCATAAGCAAATATTATGATGTTGGGAGATGCTAGTGCAGTTATCGTATGATGAAAAAACTTCTCTGTATTTTCCAGGCATTTCTTAAAACAAAATACATCCAACTCACTTTTTCCTAGAATGTATATATTGCACTTCTTTTGATTTCATTTCTAGATTTTTACTGTAGATAGGCAATTGTTTTTTCTTTTGTGTGTTGCATGTACAGAACCTAAACTGTTGAGTGCTAACATGTACAGTACAGTGAACAAAATACAGTACTGTACTTTGGTAAAATATGATTGCATTCATCAATTTTTTTATTTTGTCAGACAACCAGAAATGGAGATAAATGCATACAGTTTTTGAATTTTCAAACTTTGTGAGCATTAACGAGGTATTTATTTTAAGACTTTGAGATTATTGACACTAACATATGTTTGATATTGTAGCAATCTTTCTAATTATGCTTTGTTGAAAAGGAAGTATGAGGATGATTTTGGTATAATGCTACATTAGTTTAACTTTAGTACTAGTCGTAAAACTTAATACAGTAACACTAGTTAAATGTTTACCTTCAAGAGTGAGTGGGGTAGGTGACTACATACAGCTTTTTCCCTCCCAAGTCTAAATATGCCATACAAATGTCTCATTTTATTTATGATTAATGTAGCTATTTTTTTAATTTGCTAGATCCTCAACTGATATACAGTACTGTGCTGTATAACATTTGTTATATTGATTTATGGTTTATTATCTTACAATTCTAAGCTTCCATGTATAACTTTACTTTTTATTAAATACTAACTGATGGGAAGACTGTACTGTTCCTTGTATGATGATTGTCTTCCATTTTGTGTGTTCCATACACCTTGTGACCTTTGTTTCCTCACCCATAAGAATAAATAATTTTCCTTCTACAGTACTAGCCTACATATTCACCTTTGTACTTATATGTACTAGCCTACATATTCACCTTTGTACTTATATGTACTAGCCTACATATTCACCTTTGTTTTAGGTTCCAAAACTACTATCCTACAAAGCAGATTGTGTATTGCAGTACAAATCAGTTTTCTTGGTTCATTATTCGTCTGATCTCTTCAAACTCTATTTAAATTTTTCTTAGTTAAACTAGAATTATTTTTGTCTCCACAATTTATTTTCAAATTTTGAATTTTTATTACTGTAATAATAGTATTTTTAATTTGTAATACTGCATACTAACCCTTTCACGTTTTTGCCCCCTTACCAATTTTGGGTGCTACTGTACCAGCATCTTGAGTCAAGCGCAAGTCGCTTAGCGATATTTTACTTCCAACGCATGTTACGAAATTGCTCTGCATGGGTAAAGTGTTCAGTTTGCTGTCTTTTAAAGTTAAAGAGTTATACACACAGAAATCACAATAGCGTGATATATCAAATGAACAGGTCCACAAGGGCCGTGATGAGGGCCCTGTCAACCATGTCGTGGCACAGTTGACTTAAAGTACAGCGGGAAACATCCCGTGCGTAGGTTTGAACCCTCATCACGGCCCTTGTGGATTTGTTCTAAAGAGTTATACTTTATTATAGCATTTTAAAAAGCAATAAAAATAAAATAACAAGGAGGCGAGTTAAAGTTTACCGACGTGACATTGAAAATGACTACAGCTGTTATTGGAATGTTCTAACGTTTTGAGTAAATGACAACTGTAGGCATCACAAAAATGTTCAAGGGTTAACCTACACCTTCAATTCTTCTATTGCACCTTCCCACACTGTGACATGGAGTATATTATATGCTCCTGTGTCTTCACTTTATATTTCATTGTCTAGTACAGTAACTCCTATTTTTTCTTGCTCTTTCAACTGTAAGCTACTTATAACCCATACAAACTTTAATGTTCTAATGAGGTTGTAATTTAAGAGTATAAAAAATGCATGCAATAAATATTTTTTTCATTACTGAAAGTATTATTTTTTCCTTCCAACAGTCGTGGTGGCGGTCGACGACGGAGATATGATGGAGATGATTATGGTCCGAGAGTGAAACGATTGCGAGGGCCACCAAATTTCAGGGGCAGAACTGAAAAACCAGGTAAATAACAGCAACTTTAAGGTTCAGGGTTGACAGGGTTAACCTAATTAGGTATTCATGGTCGAGAAGCCTTGTGCAGTATTTTGCACTGAAATTTTGAAATATATATTCCTTAATGCCCAGGAAGACTTTCTATATGGTAAGAATGGTTAAAAATGTATTGTATTGGAATTTGGACTGTGCATGCCTTTAAACTATACTCATTATTGGTACAGTATGTAAATTTTTACTAACAAAACCCTAATACAGTACTATAGTTTTAAAGATGAAAATAATTCAAGCTGTATTTTGCAATGATTGAAACTGATGTCAGCATCTGGCATGCATCATAAAATCTGCCTTGTAGAATTATTTAAACATTTTTATGATGATATTTTTAGTGTTTAATTGAATATTGAGTGTGAGAGTGACCTTGCTTAAGCTGATAATGCTAAACTGGAACTCTTTGTTGACCATAAAGAAGTTGCTAGGGCATGGGGTTCTTAACCCTTCAACGTGCAACACAACCATGGATGTTCTCACCAATTATATGTAAACTGTGTGACAGTCAGGAATGTCTTAAAGTACTGTACTGCATACGATTTAAAAATTGCGCAGGTACATGTACTTCCTCCTTGGTGTTGGGGCTTGAGTACTGAGAAAGCAACCATGTGGGCGGGAGCAGCACTGCCTTGCTGCTTCCGCCCACAGCATCACTTAATGATGAAGAAATATATAAGTAATTATGATCATTGAACAAGGATAGAAGATTTTGACAGTGATAAAGACTACATACAAGATTCAGATATCAGTGAACCCATTACTGGTTACGATGTTCACAGCACACTCCCACAGATTGGTGCACCCATGCATCTTAAAGTGAGACCTCACATTACTCTCGAAAAAGAACTTGTGGAAAATTAGACCGTCGGAGTGGTTGGGCACCATTTCTTCCCTTCCCTGTCCCATCCCAAATCCTTATCCTGATCCCTTTCCAAGTGCTATATAGTTGTAATGGCTTGGTTATTTCCCCTGATAGTTCCTTCCTTCCTTCCTTGTGGAAAATTATTCTTTTTCATGATACTGAAAATGAATAATTTTCAGGATATTCAGTGATCAGTATAGTGTACTGATGATGATAGTAGTTTTGTTGTTAGTTACCAATGTGCATAGTATATCAGGAGGTTCTTTGTTGTGTGAGACACAGCAACTAATTGGCATGTGGCACTATGCTGTGTGGATTATGAGATTACCACACCCACCAGAACTGCTTAGTGCTTTCTAACGCTGCATAAAATGGGGATTGTATACACACACACACACACACGTTACATATAACTATGTAATAACAGCAAAAAAATTTTGTTTTAGTGTTCAAAGAACATAATATTGTTCATGAATGTGTGTGTATCTCTGTTATATACTTTGTGACTTTGTGATATAAATAGCATTATTGATTGCCCAATACATCATTGTGCTTGAAGAAAAAAACCCATAGTGAAAACATTATAGATATGAAGAAAATATGATTCATATTTGCCACATTTTAGGGACTGTAGGTTGAAGTTGCAAAACAAGATGTTATTCAGGGATGGGTTTGAGAGATTTTCCAAGTCATTTTCTGTTTTAATTAGTTGGTCTTTAAACTGCTGAGGATTTGCCTCTGGTGACTTATATACAGTCTACCATTGACATCACCTGACAGCTGGGTAGCAGTGACACCACCCTGGCGCCTGACAGCTGGGTGGACAGCACTTCGGATTTGTCGTCCTGAGGTTCTGGGTTTGATTCCCGATGGAGGCGGAGACAAATGGGCAAAATGTTTCTTTCAACCTGATACCCCTGTTACCTAGCAGTAAATAGGTACCTGGGAGTTAAACAGCTGCTACAGGCTGTTTCCTGGGGAGGGGGGTATCAAAAAGGCCTGGTCGAGGGCCGGGCCGTGGGGACGCTAAGCCCCGAAATCATCTCAAGATAACCTGCTTCCCCTGACAACGTCCACTACTGACCACCTTTCTCTCCTGACAACACCTTCCACCACTGACACCACCTGCCTCCCTCGACAACACCTTCCACCACTGACACCACCTGCCTCCCCCCGACAACACCTTCCACCACTGACACCACCTGCCTCCCCCCGACAACACCTTCCACCACTGACACCACCTGCCTCCCCTGACAACACCTTCCACCACTGACCCCGCCAGTCTTTTCTGACAACCCCCAATGAGAATAACTTCCACCACCTGCCTCCTGACACTAAAGTCAGATGTCATCATCTAGTTGATGACAGTGGCTGTCATCAACTATGCCAGCTTGGTCTGAGTGATCGCTTGGATGAACAGTCCTCACTTAATCGAACATTTTTATGTTCCATTGAACATTTAATACCGAATTTAATTTGTTCGGATCATCCGGGAATTCGATAGATCGAGGTTTGTTAGTGAGGATGCATTGTAACTCCTTTCCCTATTTGAGGGAGCCAGAGTCTGGTTGTGGTTCACGGTAGACCAAGAATATCTCTGAGCCAGATAACCTAAAGGGGGGGGGGGGCCTGTGATATCTGCCACAAGCTTTGGGAAGATAATGAGGTAAGAAAGGGGCTTGTCATTACATTCTACATTTTTTAGCATATCATTGTTCCATGAATTTATTTGTTTTTTGTATTCAGGTCCAGTATTTGTATTATCACTTTATTTCCTCTTAGCCAATTAAATGTATTTGCAACCTGGTTATTTCAGCAAACACATATAATCGTGAGCGCGTGAGGGAGAGATCACCTGTATATCGCAATGTACCTCGGAGAGAAGGGTCTTCTTACAATGGTACAAGCAGTCATAAACTGGTGAGTGCTATTTTCCTGAAATTTATGTACCCTATAGCTAAAAGATACAGCCATTTAGTTATAGTGTACAAAATTATACCTCTATTGAATTGGATTGATGGTTCTCCCTTTTTCTATAAATTTGCATTGTGAAACAATTATGCAATGTTAGGAGTTCATGTTTACCTGTGGCTGTTACTGATAGTTGCTCTGCTCTCTTTGCCTGGCCTAAGGCTGGTTTGCTGCTTAATGAGTCTGTGTGTTAGCGGCCTGCTGGCCCATTTAGCCCTCTTAATCTAGCTCTTCTGGCTATGGCAATGTTTCAGGTAAGATCCCACAAACTATGGTCTTATGCCCATTGCTTTTCCTACTCTATATCTGCATAAATTGCCTTCCTAGGGAGTGAGCTCATTTATTTCAATTTTTACAGGTAACTGCTATTGCTCCCACTTTTCCTGCCAGGAATGTTGTTCTATCTTAATGTTCCCTTTCATGGCAGAAGTTATATCTAAATTTGAAGCTATACAGAGAACATTACTGGAGGCATAGACACACTTGAATACCCAAATTATTTTACTGTAAGAGATAAAAAGACACCTGGAGGAACTGGCTGTAACAAAAACAGTAGGGCCAGACCAGATATCACCATGGTTACTGAAGAAAGCTGCAGGGATCTTGTGTTTCCCATTAACTATAGTATTCAATGTCACACTAGAGATGGAAAAGCTACTGGAAATCTAGAAAGGGTAAATGTAGTTTCAGTATTCAAGAAAGGGTTTAGATATGAAGCACTAGACTAGTATATATCTATATATAGACCAGTGTTATTAACATGCATTCCATGCAAGATTCTAGAAAAAGTCATCAGAAAAAGGATTGTAAAACATTTTTGGAAGAGTAAATTTTACAACAGAGGCACAACATAGTTTCAGAGAGGGAAAAAATAATGCGTAGCAAACCTGATATAATTCGGTGACAGGGCCACCAAGACAAGGCAACAGAAGGAAGATCGGGTAGACTACATCTTCCTAGACTGCCAAAATGCTTTTGATATAGTTCCAAACAAAAGACTAATATTGTACACAAGATTGAGAGAGAGACTGGGATAACAAGAAAGGCACTGGATTGGGTCTAAGAATAGTTGACAAATGGGAAACAAAGGGTCATCATCAGAGAGGATATGTCAGGCTGGAGAGGAGTGAAAACTGGTGATCCACAGGGCTTTGTCCTAGGACCATTGCTGTTTTTAATTTACCGTATGTAAATGGTCCCAAAGAGGGAGGGAGGCTTGTACATGCTGATGTTTGCAGATGATGCAAAGTTAATGAGAAGAATAAAAATTAAAGAGAAGTGTAGGGTGCTGCAAGACAACTTTAATAACCTTCAGGAGTGGGCAGATAAATGGCTGCTGGTATTTAATCCAAATAAGTGTCAAGTAATGAAAATGGGTAAGGGAGACCTGTATTTAGCTGCACCATAAAGGGAAGCCAGTTATAAGAAATAATAAGAAAAAATTACCTGGGAGTAGACATAATCCCTAGACTAACACCTGAATGTGGGTAAAAACATTTCATTTGAGGGACCTTCGTACCCTTGAATACTATACTGGACCACAAAAGCGGACCATACCGAAAGCTTGTGTGAACAGGATAACAATAGTAGCATATGGGAAGTTAGCAAACATAAGAACATCCTTTCAAAATTTAAACAAGGAGACTTTCAAGTTCATAAACACTGCTTGTTCAAGACCATTACTTGAGTATGCAGCACCAGCCAGCATAAAAGAAATATTTCTCAATGTTATTGCACTGAGCAACTCGTAAATAATAAGTTACAGACTATAGTAATTTATTGTACCATTTATTCTTAAAGTACAAGATACGGGGCAGTAATGCAGGTACATTTACAGGTAATAATAATGAGTATTAAGGGGCCAGGGGTATCTTTTTTTTTTGGGGGGGGAAGCCCCGTCGACTCCACCAGAGCTATTCAGAAAGGGGCCAAATGGGCTCCCCCCAGAAAACCAGCGTTGAATGTAATGAAACTCCATTTTCTGGGTGAGTCCCGGAGGCTCCTCGGCAACCCACCCTCCCTCCCTCCCTCTGGTTGGTGGTTTTTCATGTTTTTTGGCATCCAGCCTCAGTACTGCAGGGTGAATCGCCTGCACGGGGTCTGGGGCTTCCCCTTCCCCCTCCCGGGGAGGGGAAAGCTGTGCAGACATGTGGCGCGGCTTGTGTGACGTCAAGCTCGCTTGCTCGTTTTCATTTGGTGAGTTTTGTCCACTCATTTGTCTATTTTCATTGTTTTTCACCAGAATAGGGGTTTGTTTTGGGGCGCTTACCTTTCTGGGTGCCTGTCCCAATCGTTGGCAGATATAGAATGCTCCAAAATCACATGTGCATTCTATAGGCCATTGCTCCTCATGCCTCTCTAAGGGGGCCAGGTTCTGGCTCGTGGTCCCCAGTAGGCCTAGAACACCACCATCGACTGATGCCATAGTTAGGGATAATTATATCAGCCTGGAAAGCTTCGGGGAGCCTCCGGGTAGCCTCCGGGACTCGCCCAGAGAATGGCGTTTCATTACATTCATTGCTTTTTTTCTTTTTTTGTCAAAATATATCTAAATTAAAAGACTCCGTTCCCATGTGCAGGCGATGAGTCGTCTCTCCATTTCTTCCCTGTCCTCATCCGCCTCACAGAACTCTCTCGATGCCTCACTCCGTCCCTCGACTCTGTCCCCATAAATCCCAGTTACGGTATAGGATAAATAGGAAACCAAAATAATACGATCTGCTGGAAATTAATACATAATTATCTTTATTTCCTCAAAGGAATCAAAACTCCAAATCCAAAATCCAAAACGTTTAATATTGTATTTACTGCAAATCTAATAGCAGAATTGATGTGTTATATTGTGGTCTGGATTTGAAGATGCCACTGTACTAAGTACTGTACTGTATTTTAATTTTGTTTTTTTTTTTTTGCTCATTGCACAGTGATCCATCACAGGTTTTTATCATATTTTCATATTTTATATTTTTATTTTTTGGGGAGGGGGGAGGGGGGGGGGGAACAGCCTTTATTTTTGAGACACCTAATTATCCTTTTATAAACAGTGTTTGGAATCTTCATTGCAGACGTATCAAGACTTTATGAGAGAGATGCGAGACTTCCACTCTCGTGCTCCCAGCAATCTTCCTCCCATGGCTTTTCCTCCACCGGTATGTACTGTATATGGTAATATTTGCACAGTATTTATGAATAAGTATTTTTATAGATTGTGTGTACACTTTCCTAAATGTGCTTGTCTGGTATAGTGCCTGAGCTTTGCCGTATCAGCTCAGGTTGTCTAATGCAACCACTCCTGATTACTGGTATATTGTTTGGTGTATCTATTATAGTTTTAAACTATTTCATTAACATATACTATCTCTAGTTCATTTATTTTTTCTAATATCCCTCCGACTTGTCTACACCTCAAGTTTCCATCCATGTTTCCTTATTCTACATTGCAATTTATTTAAAAAATCCTCTTTATTTTCCTTGTAAATTTCCTTGAGCATCTTGTGCATTATCATTTCTCCTTGCTCCCTATCTCTTTAAGGGTGATGAGGTTCAACTCCCTTAGTCTTTCTTCCTAATTTAATGCTTATGTTTCTGATACAAGCTTGAATGCATACCACTAGTGTTTTTGTAGGTTCTATGCTGCTTTAGGTATGGAATTCCAATCTGAGCCTCACATACATCATGTGCACGTACGTCAATGTACAACCCCCTTTAATTTCCCTATCTCATTATCTTTCTCAAGTTGTTTGATATGCAATTCCCGTTCCTTCAGCTTGGCTACCAAGCTAGTAATTTCCTCTTGCTGTTGAGAAATATTTCTTTCAAATGTAAGAAGTTTTCCTTCATAAATATCCCCATCCTCAATTTTCAGCAACCTGCCCATAAAACCTCCATTCCTGTCTGTCCGAGTAGTCCTCTTTGTCTCATACTGTTGTTTTCCTTGTATATATGGCTATGTAACAGCCTGGATTGATCATTTGCTTATGTTGCAGTGTCGTTTCACACTACTACTCGAGTGTTCTTATTCCTGCCTCTTCATAGTGCCTCCCTATTTACTCCTGTATGAGGTTTCCCTATAGTTTTCCATGAGTTTGTTTTCTTCCTATTCCTCCTCGCATTGTCTGATGAACCATAGGATTGTTGTAATCATCTCATCCACTTCCCTGCTCAGAGATACGTGAACTTGTGCATCTCTGTTACTAGTTTTATAATTTCATTTGCTGACTACCCTCCTATTTCAAACTCCTATTATACATCCAGCAGGTAGGCCTTAACTCTCCTGTAATTCCTTTGTATTCACTCATTCTTCTATTTGTTTCGTGATGGTCACTGGGTTCTAGTGGCACTTCATACTTTAATTTTCTAAATCTTCCTTGTTTTGGATAGACACCAAGTCTATCCAAAACCTTGGTTTATCCACCAAGTCAAGGAGATCCACAAACTGGTGGATCCTTCCTCTTTCTCTAGTCAGCTCCATGGTATGCTGCCACAGACAGTGTCTGTTGTGTTCACTAATCTTGCTCTCTGTGTTTCGTGTTCTTTGTGAGCATTCCGAAGTACAGACTAGGATCTTTGCTTTCATTTCCATTGCCACTGTAGGTTTTTTTTTTATCATCCTCCTCATGAATGTTTTTTTACGACTGTCATCATACTCCTTTCCCCCACACCTTCCTGTATTTAGTGTAGGGTTGTAAATAACTAATTCCACTTTCTTCATGGTTCCCATTATTGTAAATTTGTTTACTCAGTATGTAGTCCTGCATACAAGATCTCTTGAGGATCTTTGTGCCTTCACTGATCCTCTAACCTTTACTGAATGCCAAAAAGCACAAGAATATAATTTCTTGGAAAAAAGTAATTATATTCATTAGAGGGACCTGTTGTATAAAGGTTTGGATTTTTTTTTTAGAAAATATTATACCTGTATTGTGTAAAAAAAAAATCATAAAAATAGGAAGGGTCGTGAAGATTTAAAAGAAGCATAATTATGGTTTTTGGCATTATCACTTTGTGTGATATTTGGTTCTGCTTTCAAAGTGATGGGATAAGTTAATATACCTAGAGTTTAGTAAATTGTTTGACACTTGCACACCAAAAACTTTATAGGGTTTATAGGGACGGTAAGGGTAGAGTACATGGTATTGGATGGGACCACTTAAACTGAATTAGGTTTTGGTTCTTGCACAAAATATGACATGTAACTGTTCCACACTTCAGTTTTAAGTGGAGTGTCTCAGGGATCTGTCAAGGGACAAATATACAATATATAAATGGTTTAGATGCAGGATTTGACGGCAGTACCGTACTGTATTATTACATTTTGCAGTGACACTAACATAGGACTAGTAATCCAAGAGTCGATGCTCGATCCTGTAGGCACAAAGTGCAAGTGAGTACATACTCAGTATTTCAGACATGCTGCAGGAAGACTGAGATACACTTTCAAAATGGATTGAAAATTGGTGACAAGTGTAGAGATATAAGCTTAGGGAGAGAAAACAAGTACAGTGGTACCTCGCATAACGAATTTAATCCGTTCCATGTTCGTCATGTGAAACGGACGTCATACAAAACGAGTGTCCCCCATGTAACCAGTGTGATGCACTGTGTTTATTGTGAAATTCCCCCAGAGTGCATGACATCAAATATTCCCCAAAATATCATTTTTCTTTGCAAAATGATAAATTACCGTCCCTGAACATGTCTATGTAAAAATAATTACCAAATTCCACTTACTTTGGCTGTGAGGGCGTGGACAAGGTGCGCTGTGACGTCATCAGGGCCTGGTCGCCCGTGTGTGAAGCACCCAGACACGGTCGCGCAGGCCATTCAAGCACCGCGTGTTGCCACAAATATATTTTCAAATATTTTTTCTATGCATTTCCAATGCGGTTTTATTTGTTTCTTTTATCGTATATGATGCATATTTGTGACCTTGAGGTTATCTTGAGATGATTTCGGGGCTTTAGTGTCCCCGCGGCCCGGTCCTCGACCAGGCCTCCACCCCCAGGAAGCAGCACGTGACAGCTGACTAACTCCCAGGTACCTATTTACTGCTAGGTAACAGGGGCATTCAGGGTTAAAGAAACTTTGCCCATTTGTTTCTGCCTCGTGCGGGAATCGAACCCGCGCCACAGAATTACGAGTCCTGCGCGCTATCCACCAGGCTACGAAGCCTCTGACCTTTACAATATGTATACAGTAGAATGTTCATAATTTTCCATGGAACTGTGATACATGTATCAGTAATGTGTCCACAATAAATGGTTATTGTCACAATATTACATGGTAAAAATTCACTAAAATTACAATATGTACAGTTTCACATACTATTTACACAGTAACACACTGTATTACACACTCAGTACTTTGGAGGTGCGTAATAGTCAACGAAGTAGTCCATGGTACACAGTGCGACTTTGCTCTCCTTGCGCCAGCTACAGATAGATTTTCGTTTCTTGTTTCGTTCTGTGTGCTTGCAAATAACGCACTCGTGTGCACCCTTGGCTTTAGTACTTGTAGGTGGTATGTAGCCAAGCTTGTAAAGCATAAGGTAGTATTGAAACGATTATAGGAAAAGCTCAATTTGTAAGGTAGTCTTGAAAAGATCACTTTGTAAGGTCCCACACAGGAAGAGATTCAGCTAGCCTCAAAGAGTGTCCATCAGTCAGGAAGAGATTCAGGTATTCTTGAAAATATCAATGAACAACACCACCATGGAAGCCGCTAACACTTCATCTATGCTACTTGTATCAGATGCATCATCACTGAATGCAGAAAACGATTCATTTATGTATCATCTATATAAATTCAAGATGGCAAGGGTGGGGCTCAGAGCTACACCTAGATACGCTCGCTGTATACAAGAGTTGTTACATTCTTGTACAGCCACTAGTACGCGTAGCATTTCGGGCAGGTCCCTGGAATACGATCCCCTGCCACAAAGAATCGTTTTTTCATCCAAGTACACATTTTACTGTTGCGTTAAACAGAGGCTACAGTTAAGGAATTGCGCCCAGTAAATCCTCCTCGGCCAGGATACGAACCCATGACAAAGCGCTCGCGGAACGCCAGGCGAGTGTCTTACCACTACACCACGGAGATTGTATCATCCTCATAGGTGCTGTATCACTGGCATCCGACCGTTGTGTTAAGCCCTTATTGCACCTAGCTTCACCAATGTTATGACCCTTATGTTCTTCAAACAATAGGGTCTGAATTGCACCGATTGAGCGCAGTCTTTCAACACCGTGTGGGACAGGTGTTTCAGAGCCAGAGGCGCGTGTGCCACAAATGGTTGCTCAAGCAGTGCTAACCCAGCCAGCAGTCCTAGACTTTCATATTCGTTATAGCAAAAGGTTCGTTCAGTGTTTGTTGGGTAGGCTGCTCCATTATGACAATCTTTGTTTCAAATGTTTTCCATTTGTTTTGTATTTGTCACTTATGTCTCAATAATGGAGCAGCCTACCTGACAAACACTGAACGAACCTTTATGGCATTTGTCCATTTTTCAAATTGTTTCAACAGTTCTTTTATTTTTCATATTTTTTGTTTTTATTTAAGAAACATGGAGCAGCCGACCTGTAGACCACTGAACGAACCTTTTTGACATTTATACTGGTTTTCAAAATTCTTCATTTTTTTTTATTATTTACGTTTTTTTTATGTAAGAAACATGGAGCAGCCTACCTGCCGACCACCGAACGAACCTTTTGCTATAAGACAAATGAAAAATAAATATTGAACACATTTGAAGAAAGGAAAATGTCATAATGGTTTATTCAGTGTATGTAAAGTAGGCTTCTCCATTATTGAGACGTAAATGACAAATACAAAACAAATGAAACACATTTAAAACAAAGAAAGATTGTTATAATGGAGCAGCCTACCTGCCGAACACCGAATGAACCTTTTTGACATTTGTTGTATATCAGACATTTCATTTCTTTTTTCCTACAAAAACGTCAATGCTTTGCAACATCTCAGCAGTCACCCTTTTATATCCCAGCATCATTAGCATCTTTAAACAAGAACAACATAATTTATGTGCATCGTCGGAGGCGTCTAAGAATGTGCAAGAAGCAGCGCGACCCCACCGTGTTGTGTTGACGTTACTCAAACCAGCGTTCGTCATACGGGACGATTTGACGCCGATTGGGCCGTTCGTTACCCAAAATATTCGTCTTTTGGGGCGATCGTTATGCGAGGTACCACTGTACTTTAACTCCTGAACTGCGCACCTGTTTTTGGCAAAAACTTCATAGTGCAATTGTTAAGGACATATTTTTGTTGTTTTTATAAATATTCAGGTAAAGTTAATGTCAACATGTTTGCAAACTCAACCATTTTCATTTCAAAACACAAAGAGTGATGAAAACATTCAAACACATTAAAATATAGCCTTTTTAAAAAAAATAGTACAACTCTCAGAACGAAATTTGTCGGTTGGCGCAGCGCAGTGGTTAAAGAAGCTAATCAGTATTGAAATTTCTTAATTATATTATGAAAAAGATCTAATTGTCATTACTAGCAGCTTAAAATTAAGTGAAAGCCATGCATAAATGTTCAAAATAGGGCTAACAGATATATAATTTACACCATACTATGGAATGGATGTAAATTCTCAGGAAAGTTAGAGAAAGATGACCAAGTTTATTCCTGGGTGCTAGAAACTCCATTTGAAGAGCTAAGAATGGTCAGGTTACACTCTTAGAAAGGCGTAGTATAAGGGATACATGATTGAAATATACAGTCTCTTTCACTTCCACAATATAATCAAACATGATAACATCATGGTCAGTGGCTCCTAGCGGCAATTCATATTGTAAGTTCTCTACATCTTCATTTTGGGTAAACACCAGGTCTAGGGTAGCTGGTAGATCACCACAATTTACTCTTATCGGCTCCTTGATATGCTGCCACATCAAGTGTTTGTGGTGTCCACTGATGATGATCTATGTTTCGTCTCCACCGTCGGGATACTTTGTTCACTAGTCTCTCTCTCCCTGTGGAAAAAATCCCTAAGTATTAGGAGCTTTGCTTTGGCTCTCCTTACCACTCTGGCCACCTTTTCTTATTACTGTATCTTCAGAAATATTTCCTTGCATTTAATGTTTGTATGATAAAGGTAGTGTGTCATTAACTTTAATCATTTAGAGGAGCATACATGGAGCACAACTAGTGTGTGTCTCGGGAGTTCTACTCCCCAAGCCCTGCCTGAGGTCAGGCTCCTGGGCATCAGGCCGGGCTCAGCCTGAGGTCAAGGAAGGTCTTTACTGTGGTTACAGTACACAACTATACCTGAATACTCAAGATAGTGGCAGTAACACAGATGACACGTTTTCATAAGTGGGGGGGGGGGGGAACGGTTCTCCTGTGCTCAAGATGATAATAATGTACTGTAATGCTTACTTATCAGTGACTATGGGGGATTGAAATCTAGCTCATTGTGTGTGTGTGTCATTTATACTTGGCATGCTAATTACCTCTTTCAACATTAAAGTTTTTTATCATATTTTTCCATTAAGTTGTAGATGAATTTGGCTTCAACAACCTCTTCATTGAGTGCATAGACATGCACTCATGTGTATTCACCATTAAAGATGGTGCTTGTGTGCACAAGACAGCACTCGTGCACTGGAGACGACACTCGTGCATTAGAGAGGGTTTCAAATATGGGTTTGGTGATACCTTAGGTGAGTTTGTGCCCTCTTTGAGAATATTCCCTTCCATTTTAACAGTGGAGGCAGTTGAGCTGCTGCTTTCCACTGAGAATTTGCTGTCTTCTATTTCTTGAGGGTGTTGTGGTTGCAGGCCTTTCCCTGTGGGGAGACGTTTTTCTCTTCGTTGTGTCTGACTAACAATTCTGCTCTGCCTGTGGCCTCGTTTCCTTTGGTATTTGGAGCTGAAGGGAATCCCAAGGTGACTTACTGGTGCTTTTTGCCCTGATTAGTCATTGGTTTCCATTGCTGGTAGAGGCATTTTCTTTATTTAAAAAAGGAGTGCTTGTTATATTTTCCTCCTGTTTGAAATTGATTCTTTAGTGGCTCACCCCCCATCCCCCCCTCTTCCCATGGGCTTCCTAATCCATTTACCGTCCCTGGGGGTGTCGTATATATGCAAAGGTTTCCGAATTCACATCTTCACCTGTGATTGGATCTTTTTGTAATTAGAAAGATGGGACACCATGAGCATAGCTCTCATCCTGTAACTACATAGGATACTTAGGTAATTACACTTAGGTAATTACTTGTTTAAAGTCCTACAACTTCACCTAAAACTTCCGCTAAGCTTTTTTCCCCTCTTTGTCTCTATATTCAACACTTATTTCCTTCTCTTTACAGTTAAATATTATTTACCTCTATTTACAGTACTATGTTTTGTACAGTATCTTATTTGTGACCAATTTCTTACTAATTTCATCTGTTCTCTGAATTGTGGCTTACATAACTCCTCAATCAATTGTCTTCAGCTATTTGAGTAATGAGTTGTTTCATTTCAGCATTATTCTCATGTATTCCATTTGTAAAGTTGCATAGCTGGCCACATACAGTAACATCCAGATTTGACCAGTACTGGCAGCAGCATTTGTCAGATCTTGTATTTCCATCTCATGAGGTACTAGATATTTTGTTAGGTTTGTTATTGCCTTTTGTAAACTCTGATTTTATATCTTACTTTCTATATACTTTACTAAGTATAAGTAAGATACTTTCTAAGCCTTGGCTTTCTTCTTTAAATTTATGATGAGATCTTAATCAACTGATTGTTTTGGCAATTTTACAAGTAATTCCCCAGGTACAGTATTTAACTGTTCTGGGGGAGATTCCATCAAAACTTGTGTTAAAATGATTGATATGTACTGGAGGTTACTACTTAAGTACTAGGGATGGCACTTGTGTGCTGGAGATGCTGCCCGCATGCTGGAGATGCTGCCCACATGCTGGAGATGCTGCCCGCATGCTGGAGATGCTGCCCGCATGCTGGAGATGCTGCCCGCATGCTGGAGATGCAGCCCGCATGCTGGAGATGCTGTCCGCATGCTGGAGATGCTGCCCGCATGCTGGAGATGCTGCCCACATACTGGAGATGCAGCCCGCATGCTGGAGATGCTGCCCGCATGCTGGAGATGCTGCCCGCATGCTGGAGATGCAGCCCGCATGCTGGAGATGCAGCCCGCATGCTGGAGATGCTGCCCGCATGCTGGAGATGATGACCGCATGCTAGGTATGCTGCTAGCATGCTGGAGATGCTGCCCGCATGCTGGAGATGATGACCGCATGCTAGGTATGCTGCTAGCATGCTGGAGATGCTGCCCGCATGCTAGGTATGCTGCTAGCATGCTGGAGATGATGACCGCATGCTAGGTATGCTGCTAGCATGCTGGAGATGCTGCCCGCATGCTAGGTATGCTGCTAGCATGCTGGAGATGATGACCGCATGCTAGGTATGCTGCTAGCATGCTGGAGATGCTGCCCGCATGCTGGAGATGCTGCCCGCATGCTAGGTATGCTGCTTGCATGCTGGAGATGCTGCCCACATGCTGGAGATGCTGCCCGCATGCTGGAGATGCTGCCCGCATGCTGGAGATGCTGCCCGCATGCTAGGTATGCTGCTAGCATGCTGGAGATGATGACCACATGCTAGGTATGCTGCTAGCATGCTGAAGATGATGACCGCATGCTAGAATGGCCACTTGCATGCTTGAGATGCTGCCCACATTCTGAAGAGACTGCCCACTTGCTGGAGATGGTACAGTACTTGCATACAGGAGATGTTGATCACATGCTGGATATGTTGATTGTGTACTGGAAATGTTGGTTATGTATGAGTATCATAATGGATAGTTCTCATGTTATGGATATGCCTCTTATTTACTTGAGATAGTAGAGTACTGTACTTGCATAGTTATGTTTGTAGGGGAATATGATTTGGCCAATGCGATGTCTTCTTATTAGCTTGGATTTTTGTCATGTTTAAATTTTAATCCATTTATGGAACCGACTAAAACTAGTTTATTCACTCACTTCCCTCACACTACAAATTAATTTAATTCCACATTCGTGTGTTCAGTTTTGATTTGTTGTAGCGTTAACCCGCCCTGCTCCTCTCTAACAGCGTGTCTTTATCCACCGTGCTGATACGTCCTTTTTGCTTCTTTATTTCTCCAGTGGTGTTAGATTTATCATTTTCTGTCTGTCCTCATAGCATAGTTCCTTTATCTTAAGGACTGACTTTGTGGCAGATATTTGGAGTTTCTCAAGCTTTTTTCTGGCTTTGAAGTGGTATGGGTTCCAGGCTGACACTGCATACTCCAATATTGGTTTGCATATGTGTTGTATAGTATCCTAAATAATGCTCATGCACTGGAAATGCTCTTCATTTACCTGAGATTGTACTTTTATTTTGAGAATAGTGCTTGTGTAGTGAAGATATAATTTAGGTACAGTAGTGTATTTACAGTAAATTCCATGTTATGAAATTACTAGTGGCTCTGAACAGATTTATATATATCGGGAAAAGGAATTGGGACACCTCCTTTGATCACCCTCGACAATTGACTAACAACTAGTTTATTTACAGTTTTCCATTTTTTTTCCTATTCACAGCCACCTTTTGATCCAATTGGCCCGCCTCGATATTATGATGGGCCACCATTGCCAGAGTACCCAGCATCACGATCACGTTCTGAAAAGAGACCTTCAGCTGATGTAAGTAAATGCTGATTCAGTGAATGCTGTTGCCTTGAAAGTTGGGACTTGTCATATTGAGTGACTGGTTATCTTGACACTTGGTCTTAAGTAAAATTCTCATTGTCATTGTCTAGGACTATAGGTGTGACTTGCAGCAGCTCTGCAACACTGATTTGAATAAGTTGAGAGAGGAAGTGTGGCAGCTGCATTCTTGGTGGTTGATTGTTGCATTGGTAATGATCTGGTGCCGTGTTGAATGTCATGGAGGGATTACTCATCCTCTGAAAAAACAAATTCTCCCTTCTTGCAATAACTTCTAGCAATCTGCAAAAACATATTAGAACTATTGATGTAATTCTGAAGAAACTTCATATAACTTGCAACAAAATTTTGTGTTCTATAAGAAATCATTTAGGCAATGACAATATCTTGGAAATCCAATATTCTTAAGAAATTACCTTCACTGAGAGATGGTTGGCTTTAGAGCTTAATCTTGCTTTGTATCTATGGTAAATGCAACTGTACATGGCTTTATCTTAAGCTAATGCTGTAATTTGTTTAGGATATTCTATGTTACTAAGTTAGGTTAGTCACATGGTATCACTACATGTTAAGAGGAGACATCATTTAGTGGAAGGTACTAGACAAATTAGAAAGGTAGATACTGTGATCTTTCTCTTCTTGATAAATGTCTCCATATAAGAATATTATTTTGCAGAAACATTTTGTGACGCATTAGCTATCTTCGGTGAAGAGTTCTGTGTCAGTGACTGTTGTTTTGCCAATATTGTTTCATTAAATTTTATCTTGGCATCTCATTTTCTGCTTTATCTGTGTATTATGGAGCTGTTCTATCCTATCTGGTAATCTGATAGCTGCACCAGCATGTACACTCTTATTAAACAGCTTTATGTTCTGGGAAAAGTTTGATACTTAAGTGGTGGATATACTGGTAATCAAAAACACACATAAAACATTCTAGCTGAATTATCCTTAAACTTGCAACATACATATTGGAATAGTGAATCTTACTACATTGTGTTGTGGCTGTGTATTCACAATTGCTCATTGCTGCCTTCATAACTACTGTAATCCTTTCCTGTCTTGGCCAACTTTATCTCTGCTTAAATGGTCAATCTACATTTCCACCAGTTATGTAACTAGGAACTGTGTTAAATAGCATTAGCTAACTTACCAGGACCAGGAATTCCTCTTATTATTCACTTTTATGTTTCACTTTTGAATAGTATCTGAAGAGTGTTTCAAGTAAGTAGCATCAAATTTGTTATTTGATATGCTGCATTTGTGTTTAGTGTAGATTGTACAGTACTTAAGTAGTGGGGCATAAAAGATATGGGGCTGTACTAAATTCAGCCAAGAATAATGACATCAGAATTGAGTCAGTGGAACATTTGCTTGAAAAATATATTGCAACAAAAGGAAAAAACCCAAGTTCTTGCATAGTATATACTGATGAAAATGACAGAATGAGACTGTGTAGTCAGAATGCAAGGACATGTAAGAGCACTCATAGAGAATGACAAAATAATGTGTGAAGAATTCAACCACAGGTTCCAAGAGGACTGCAAAATAAGAATGGTTTGGTGCCTAAGGAGAGGTGGCAACAGTCAAAAACCTCACACAACAATGAAAGTTACTGTAGAAGTAGTTAAGACACTTGGAGGAACTAGATGTAGCAAAAGCAGCTGGACCAGACCAAGTGTATCCATGGTTACTGAAAGATGCCTCAGAGATTGTGTTACCTTCTAGCTAATGCTTTCAACTTCAATTAAATTAGCTCCAAAAATGTGGAAAAGGTCAGTGTAGTTCTAATGTTCAAGAAAGAGAACATAGAGCAATAGATTCCAATGTTTAGGAAAGAGAAGATAAAGCACAACATTTTAGACCAGTATCACTAATATGCATCCCATACAAAATCTTGGGAAAGGTAATTGGAAAAATAACATTTGCATAGAATATATTTTGTAGCAGAAGAGGGAAAATCATACTTCAAAAACTGTATATAATTCCATGACAGTGTTACCAGATTTATACAATAGTAATAAAGGATTAGTAGACTGCATCTTTCTAGACTACAGGCAGACTAGATTTTTATTTATTTATTTTTTTTTTTTAATACAATTGCTGACAAGATGTAGAAACCAGCAGTGTTAACAGGGAAAGCACTGAACTGAATAGTTGAGTAAATATGTCAGTGGTGGTGGATAGCAGTGAAAAGTGGGCTCCTTTCAAGGCTGTCTCTTAGAACACTTGCACTTTCTAATTTACATTAATAACCTTCCTAAATTATTTTCAGTATTTTCATCAGAGTTATCTTACTTCACTAAATTGGCTAAAATTTTCAACTAAACATATGATAGTAAATAGGTATAGCTTAGTGGCTGCCAACTACCCATGCCCACTCCTTGTTCTCAGTTATTTTTACAGTTATGTGATTGAAAATATACTATGCTGGCTTCTCCCATCATTAAAAGCCATAATTGAACTATTTTTATCATATTTCATAGCTTGTGGCAGCACAGTTGCTCATTTCACAACACAAAAAATAGTTCTCTCCACTAGCATGAATTCCTGCACCACTAACACTAAAACTATTTAAAATCACCTTGACACATGTTTGTCACTTGAGATAGTGACAATATGAGAGGTGGGGCTAAAGGTTGATCACCTTCAACAACTACCTTACTCTCCCTTACCTTGCTGTTAGTTGCTTAGTTCATCATCTAATAGATAATATTAAAATTTACTACAGTACTTGTAATATATTTTCCTCAGTAAGACCTTCCAGTTCTTGCAAAGTCTTTACAATGTAGTGGGGGGGGGGTATTAAATGTGCATTTAGCAGCAGTGCTGTGTACAAACTGAGTAGGTGGTGTGTTAGAGAGAGTGGGCAGCACTCTACTAATCTCGGCAGGAAGGAAACCAGATCACTCAGGATTTTGATTCAGTATGGAAAATGATCATGTCGTCATCTGATCATGTAAAATGTCCATCAGGGCCATCTCATATTGGAATGTGTAATATGCACCTGGTTTGAGTTTTGAATCTCCCACAATGGGTAAAATTGTCTGTGGGTAACAGGAATGGTATGAGGCTTAAAACAATACAATTCATAAAGAACAGAGTTTTCTATATAATTATAGGTTAAATAACAATACTGTACAACATAATTTATTCTTGTGTAAAGAAACCAATTCTTATTGGTCCTACTTTGAGCAATATTAAATATACAAAATACAGCATTTTGAGTTGAAACACATAATATTAAATATATATGCATATATTGTATAGTAATTTATAATAAAAAGAAAAAGCAGAACATTCTTGGTTAATCCAAAAAAAATTGACAATTGCTCCTCTAGCAGTAAACCAAGTTATACCATGATGAACCTGGAGTCTAATGTACACATTTTTGTCATAATATGGGCATAATAGGATGGGCTTCAGTGTGATCTGCATTAGTATATCTTTGAGATAATGTAATTTCTAAATATAATTTAACTGTTAAATATAATTGTTAATGGCATATGTCTTATGAAAATTTAAGCTTAATATCTATATCATTGGCAATGGCATGTATTTTTCAGCCCTACGACCGCAGTGTGGATGAGTTCTTGCAGCGGACCAGGGATCGACGGGAACGAAGTCGTGAACGTCGATATCGAGAACGTAGATAAAGTAAACATTTTATATATACAGTAACTTTTGTAAGGTTTTAATAAATATTGAATGGACCAAACTGAAGTGGTAGACACTACAAGTCGGCTTAAGATGTGTGGCAGATGGTGGAGGTGAACAAAATATTAATATAGAAAATAGCAATGGAAAAGCAAGAGAGGATATACGAAAATATGTAAAAACCATTCATGCTTCCAAGAAGTATTTTGGATAGCTACCTCACTTATTACCTCTGGCGAGTGAGTTAGGATACATTATTCATGATTAGTTATATATCATTTTTTTGCAAGGTGTTTGTCTTGACATTACACATATAAGAAAATTCTCCCTTTTGTAATACATATTAATGCAACTGCTTTTATTATTATTATTATTAATTATTATTAATATTTGTATATAAGTAAGGCAATTGTGTATTTGTTTTTCATAATACAGTATCTAGATGTATAGCATAAAACAAGAGTGCAAATAGAGTTTATAAGGCATTCGTATACTAATTAAAAACATTACTGAAATTATCATAGAATTTTTATATTTTCCCTTTATATTTTTTAAATAAGAAAAGGACAGTACTGTATTGTATTTTGAAAGAATTTTATTTGATTATGGAAATGTTAACATTTATTAACTATAAATTAAAATGTAATTAAATTGATGATTGTGCAATATACTTTTAGATGTACCTTTGGTTGTCTCCTATCTTATCTATCTCCTTTCTTAAAAATTGGTACCACATTAGCAACCTTCCATGAATCTGGCACTCTGTCTGACTCTATTGATGTATTAAATATGGTAGACAGTGGCTCACAAAGCTCCTCTTTGCTTTCTTTAAGCACCCTGGCAAACACTTCATCTGGCCCTGGGGATTATGAGTGGGATTGGGTAGTTATAAATATTAGCTGCCTCGTATGGGCCAGTAGGCCTTCTACAGTTACCTTTATTCTTATGTTCAAAGTGGATATACAGCTGGTACCTTTCTAGCATTACTGAGTAATACATAATAACACAAATAATAATGAGTAAGTATGTTATTATGCTGTATTTTGTTATATATCATATAAATATATTGCCCAATGCCAATATCTTGTTAGTTTCACCAATGTCCCCAAAAAAAAATTTTGGAAGGCAAATTAATTTTCTTTTTAGATTTGCTTTTCATTTGTTTCTAATCTGATTTTGTTGTACCTTCTACGTCGTGGAGAATGCATACCCGTCACTATGTACGTGAAGAATGAATGAAATTGGTAAAAAAATTCATCAGTTACAGATGGCAGAAATTTTGACTTATTTATATTTTGGACGAAAAATTTACAGATTTCAAACTATTCTTTTGGTCTCTTTAGGTTATATTGATATATTGGGACCAGATGTGGGGGCCTTGATGCTTATTTAAAGTATATGTACTTAAGATCCTTATTAACCCATTATCCTTATCCCTATATTTTGTGTTTTAGGGGATTATTTTTTCTTGACTTCATTTCAACACAAATTGACGTACAACTTTCACATATTTGAGTACGAATGCCAAGCAATATTTATTAAAACTTACAAGATATGACATAAATTTGAACTAGGGAGCCAGTCAGCCAAGCGGACAGCACACTGGACTTGTGATCCTGGGTTCGATCCCAGGCGCCGGCGAGAAACAATGGGCAGAGTTTCTTTCACCCTATGCCCCTGTTACCTAGCAGTAAAATAGGTACCTAGGTGTTAGTCAGCTGTCACGGGCTGCTTCCTGGGGGTGGAGGCCTGGTCGAGGACCGGGCCGCGGGGACACTAAAGCCCCGAAAATCATCTCGAGATAACCTCAAGATACTATATTTATTGTCGGAGGTTTACCTTCAACCTTCATTTTTCTCCATGAACAGGATTTTCAACTTTAAGCTCTTACTCAAAATTCAGTTTCTGAGCGATTCTCACCATTTTTACATATGTGCAAAGTTCTTAATTCTCAGGTTTCCATTTGAGTATTTATTCATTAACCCATAACTTTGGGGGTTATACATTTTTTGTCAAAATTTTGTGCATATTTTGAAGGTCATGTTGACTTTTTTTTTTTTTACAGTAACTATACACTCAAACTCAATTTTAATAAATGAAAAATGAACAGTATATGCCATTCTAAGCCCATATTGAATAAAATAAAAATTGGTGAAATATAAATTAGTTTAGTTAATTTGAAATTTTTAAAATTATGCACAAAATGTTTGAGTGTGTTTGAGGAAGGTTAAGAAAGTAACTCTCCCGGTGCCTTAAGATTTGGGAGTGTTCTGGGGTTTATTGATTAAGGGGGTGTACTAAAGTTGATGTGTTTGTGCATACGACATGCTGCTTATGGCCTTTACAATTACATTTTTCCTTAGTGCTGCATTTGAAGTCAGTTCATTCTGTGAATGTCCCTAGTGCCTGGGTGCCCTGCTTGTTCTTTAGCTTCAGGCCCTGATAAACCCCGTGTGGTGTAGATGATCATTGATCAGACCGCCAAGTTGGCACTCGCTACTTGCGAGTTCGTGGGATGTCCATCGATTTTCCTACGTGTCGATGGTCATTTGTACTGTCTCCACTACGCCACTTATTGGGTGGGTATTATCTTCCATCCCCGATGCCTGTGATGATTTGTGTTCGCTGGGATCTCTGTTTTAGTTGACCTTCCATCTCTTGAGTTTTATTTCTTTTTGTAGTGACAAGGCTTAGTAGGCAGCAGCTGCTTTCAGTTTTTTTTTCATACTGTATTTGTAGTTTGGTGCTTGCATGGTTGCCCTGGAGTTAGCCCCATTTGATGCTTAGGAATGTGGAATTGGAGCTGCTGGCAATTTCCACCTGTTCTTCAATTCGCCCTCTCTTGTTTACAATGATCCTTCTGGCCTGGTTTGACAGATCTTTTGTCCTTTTCCTTGATTCAGGTTCTGGAACATCTGAAGGTTTCGGGGTCCAGGCTGCACTTAGCTTTGTGTAGCTCTGACTTCTCCGGGGATCGCCCCTTACATGTTTGCAGAGACAATTGAGCCGTTCTTCCTGCCAGGGATCCAGAGCCTTCTGTTTCTCAGGGGAATGTATTTCACTTAAATCCTTTAATTTGTGAAGATGTCTTCCTGTCCATGTTCCTTGTCTGTCAAAGTGTCAGGTTGCTATTTGCTGTCATTCTATCTGCCTCTGATATGCTGCCCATTGGGTTGCTCACACCATTCATCCCAAGTCCTGCAATATTTGCACTAGTTGAGTCTATATTAACTGAGTTACTATATTAATTTCTAGGCACCTTTTCCTATGTTCGTGGTTCATGGTATGCTGTTCGATTGGATGCCCCAGAGTTAGCCCCTGTGGTGTTTAGGGACCCAGACTTGGAAAGGGTTGGTGAATTTCACCTGGTCTAAGTTTGCACTTCCTCTCTCTTCCCCTTGCTGTTGTGGTATGCCCAGTGTCTAGTCTTCTCCTCAACCCCCAAAGTGGTAACACCCTATACTGTATTGAGAACTCCATCTAGGACATGGTGTATCAGTCGAAAATTCAAGTGCAAGCACAGCATGCCTTGACACTACATATAGGCATTGCCCAGTTTGTGCCAAATATAGTAGTTTAACTTCATTTTGATGAAACGGCTAATAGATATTTTTATTTTCTGTATAAATTTTATTTTTAATGCTCAGTACAGAGTATATTTCTGTAAGTAGTAGAGTACTATTTCCAGTTCCAAACAAAATTCAGGCTATGTAAAATCCTTGAGGTATCAACATAAAATGCTCTGCTAGTATTTCTACATAGCAGTACACAAGTCACAAATTCATAGACACATCAGAGCCATCACTCAGGAAGCCTGTACAGGAGTACAACAATACTTTATTTACATTGACACAGATTGACTGCACCATTTTTGGCCATACAGTCCTGGCTTGCCAGCTACTTTTGCAATTACTTATACTGTAGAGGGTACTTTTGGCCATTCTAGAGGGCCCACACAACTGCTCACTAAGTATTAACTGCTCAAGGTAAAGTATAAATGTCATTGTTTCCTACATACTTTTTTTTTATTTACATACATTTTTTTTAATCTTTTGTGTCTTAAAATAAGTATCCTATTTGTTGAAAAAAAAAGATTTGCCAAAAAAAAAAAAAAAAAAAAAATTTTTGTCAACGGATGAAGTTAGCACTACACATAAGGGGCATAACTGGCCGACCTCTCACAGTGTTCAAGAGAGAACTGGATAAGCACCTCCAAAGGATACCTGATCAACCAGGCTGTGACTCATACGTCAGGCTGCGAGCAGCCGCGTCCAACAGCCTGGTTGATCAGTCCATCAGTCCAGCAACCAGGAGGCCTGGTCGACGACCGGGCCGCAGGGACACTAAGCCCCGGAAGCACCTCAAGGTAGCACGTCCATTCAAGTGGAGTTCCACTATGTTTTTATTTGTTTATTTATATATATATATATATATACTGTATATATATATATATATATATATATATATATATATATATATATATATATATATATAATAATAATAATATGTGTGTGCACACACACATCATTAAACACAACAGCATTGTGACTATTATTAATAATAAATGCAATGACAGGTATCAGAGAAGCGTCATCAATGCATATGTAGGTCGTGCAATACGTACATGATCTTCTTTGCTTCTCTTGCACCATGAACTTGAACGACTGCCAAATTGTTGTGAACAACAATTACAGCAATACTGAATTCAACAAAATCGTAAGTAAGAAGCTAGGCCGCCATCTGAATAAGGATAATCAGGCCCCAGGGGTGAAAAATCAGCCCCCAAGAGAAGACATTGTAGTGTATTATAAAAATACATTCACTCAGGCATACAAAAAGGATGAAAAAGTAATATGAGACGTAATTGACAGGAATTGCAAACATTTAAGTGAAAACGCAAGGAATCGTCCTATCATTTATTGTAACAACCCTCGTAGATCTTCCCTCATTATGAGAAATAACATCTCTGCCTCCTCTGACAAACTCAGGTATACTAATGTAGTGTATCAATAAAAATGCAGCTCTGGAGACAGTCCAATTCAAAATATATGCTACATCGGACATACCACGAATACTTTTGGTAGACGTCATTCATTTCATTTGCAAGATGGAGGTATTAAGCAACCTCATTCTCAATACCACAACACCATCCTGAATCGCCAAGACATAGTGAAAGATACGATAGTAATCACACAGACTGATGATTGTAGGAGGCTTCGTATACTTGAGGCTGTGTTCATTCGGGAGCCAAGACTAGTAATCAAGATCCAGATAAATTTAACTTTGAGCATACCAGCCTGTCCTTGCATACAAAGATCCAAGCTAGTTAATCCAGCCACCAAATCCCCTGTTTATGAATGAAAGGCAGTTTACACACGACTCACAACTGAAGACGTCCGAACACTTCCAGAACAAGTGCTTCACTCACATCCCCTGTTTGAACCACAATTCTGGAAATGCTTCACCCACATACAGTACAGTACTTCAAATACAAATAATTGCCAACAGAACCTAAACACTTGCTAACCCATGCCTAACTACATACAATTTGTATGTATAATAATATTAATTTATATATGAGAACAAACCCATTTTTTAATACACAGGCATCTGCTTTGAAGAACCTAGTGTGGGAACAGGTGAGCATACAGCTATTCGATGGTCCTCCATTGATCCAGAGAGAAGATGCAGGACCGGGCAGACATCTAGAATCCAGAGTCGGGCAACAATCACCTCACCCTACCCTTCGCCGCTCTCTACAATTAAGGGAGTTAGGTGAATCGTAGAGTGAGGTGTACCCACACTTATAAATGTCTAGATTTTTCCTTGTAATCTTAGTATATCTGTGTCAGTTCAACAGTGTACTCCTGAAGATGTCACATTGTTGACAAAATGTCGAACAATAAAGAATGGAAAGATTAAGTGATGTAGTGTTTCTTCACTCTCTAGATGGTAGAAGATATTTGTGTAGAATGGAAAATATCCAAAAGAAAATTAAAAAAGTCACAATGCTGTTGTGTTTAATGACATGTGTATTGGAAAAAACCTGCTCTCAAAATATACTAATACACTGTATATATTACATATATGTTGTACCTAGTAGCCAGAACACACTTTACGGCCTACTATGCAAGGCCCAATTTGCCTAATAGGCTGAGTGATTTTCGTTATTTTTAAAATATTGTTTCCAATTGGTTTATTTGAAAAATTATTATTATATGCTAAGAACATAAATTGTTAACTTAGTTATGTTAGTTTAGGTTAAGATAAGATAGGTTAGGTTAGGTAGGGTTGGTTAGGTTCAGTCATATATCTACGTTAGTTTTAACTCTTAATTAAAAGAATTTAACTCATACATAATGAAATGGATAGCTTTATCATTTCACAACAACAAAAAATAAAAAAATATATAAATTCAGGAAAACTTGGCTTATTAGGCAAATCGGGCCTTGCATAGTAGGCCGAGTACTAGTTGTACTAGGTACAACATTTATATATAATATATTATTATTATTATTATACTGTATATATATATACACACAGTGGCACCTTGATTAACAAGCGGCTCTATCTACGAGCATTTCCAGTAACGAGAGAGCCACTCGCAGCAAATTTGTCTCTATTGACGAGCTTCACTTCTATTAACGAGCAAAACCACATGGTGCTTCCTAGCATCTCGCGGGTTCTCACAAATTCTTGGACGCCAGTGTTGCTTGTCATGCGCGATACAACATCCCTCTGCATTTATTTGCGCTTTTTTTTTGTGGTTTTGTGACTACAATTTGTAATGCACGATGTCGCCAAAGAAGCTGCTTGCTAAAGATAGTGTTGTCAAGAGGAAGAAAGACACAATTACTGTGGATTTGAAGAAGGAAATTATAGCAAAGCATGAGTGTGGTGTCTATGTGACTGATCTCACAAAGGAGTATGGCAGGTCCTCATCAACAATTTGCACCATTAGTAAGGGAATGAGGAGGTAAGGGAGGATGCTGCCTCTTCCACTGAGATCAGGGAAGTGTTGGGAATGTTTGAAAAGGTGACCGCATTCTTGGAAAAGCTGCCCTGATAAAGCAGTGACAACCCGGTGTGTGAACATGTTTAATGACAATTTGCTGTCTCGTTTTAGGAACATCCTAAAACAAAGACAAAAGCAATTGTCAATGGATACGTTCTTTGCAAAAGTAGAGAAAAGAGCTAGTGATAGTGAACCACACCCTGGTCTCATTGGGGTGTAATTCCCAAGAAGAGAGAGCCTGCCTGACTCAGAGGTGGATTCTCCTTCCACACCATAACTCCTCTCCTCCTTCCCACCTCCCCATCGTCTCCCTCAGGCCAGCAACGACTTCATAAGGTAAAGTAAACATGAAAACAGTACAACAAAACATTTATAATTATATGTGCAGTATTATATTTACATTATAAAATGTCATACAAGTATGGATGTTTTTGGGAGTGGAACGGATTAAATTTATTTCCTTTATTTTAAATGGGGAAATTTGTTTCTTAAGACAAGTTTTCCACATAATGAGCTCGGTGCCAGAACGGATTAAACTCGTTAATCGAGGTGCCACTGTGTGTGTGTGTGTTATTTTTATATATATATATATATATATATATATATATATATATATATATATATATATATATATATATATATATATATATATATATATATACACACACATACATACATACATACATACATATACATACACACATATGTATATGTATATGTTGTACCTAGTAGCCAGAACGCACTTCTCAGCCTACTATGCAAGGCCCGATTTGCCTAATAAGCTAAGTTTTAATGAATTAATTGTTTATCGACTACCTAAACTAACCTAACCTATAAAGATAGGTTAGGTAGGGTTGGTTAGGTTCGGTCATATATCTACGATAATTTTAACTCCAATAAAAAAAATTGAACTCATACATAATGAAATGGGTAGCTTTATCATTTCATAAGAAAAAATTAGAGAAAATATATTAATTCAGGAAAACTTGGCTTATTAGGCAAATCGGGTCTTGCATAGCAGGCCGAGTACGACGTTCTGGCTACTAGGTACAACATACATACATATATATATATATATATATATATATATATATATATATAATACAGTATAATTTATTAAAAAATATAAAATGTTTTATCCCAAGCAGAGAAATATATATAATATTATTTTTCTTGTGGTTTTTCTAAATAGTTGGCTTACATTTCATTAGTGGGTGCATCACCGCACCTTATTCTCTTATGCACATACATACTGTACATTCATTCATTATAATTATATATCGTAGATATATTATACAAATGAGTGGTTGTTCTTAATTTGGCTTAGCACTCAAAGGTAACCTGGTATATAATTCTTATTTATTAATTAGGTACATAATCTTGAAGCCCAAATAACAAGAGAAGCATAGAGAAAAAAAATATTTAAAGTTTAATAGAAGGAAAGTCAAGAAGCTGTTCCTGTCATAAAGTTGAATGGTAATGGCTATACCGTAATTATGAACAAGAAATGTAATGAGTGATATAAAAATGTTATGAAAATTACTGAGATTCAAACATATACTATAGTAAACACATTAAGGAAGCATTGCTTATAGTGGCATATCAAAACATTTTCTTTCCAAGATGCGTGCACTTGATGCGCCACACTGGGAGCACACTGGCCACACTCTGGGAAAACAAAACTTTTATGGAATTAATAGTAATAAAAAATATTGGTAACAAAATTAGCAGTGAATTGGACAAGAGGTTGTGCACTGTTATCATGTAATTGATGCTTTTAAATGATTAACAATATGACAAACATATACTGTATATCAAAATCAAATTTTGTGAGTTTTGTTAATCAACATCTGAATGAATAAATTATAAAGAATAATTATTATCCAAATATCTTCACTGACTCAACAGTACAAGAACTGTCAACCATAACTAGTTGTGTCCAATATGTAAGTACAAAAGCTATGCAGCACTCCACATCATCGTGTCACAGGCAACTATCACAGCATTTAATAAAGCACAGTTCAGTAAGTACTGTACAACCTTTGGAATACGTGCGGTAATTATCCATCAAAATTATGTTATTCATTATAATTCAGGAAAAAAGAAGATCAAGTACAATGAGAACTCAAGAGATGATTTGCTGTAGCATTGGAGACCTGTCAAAGAGAGGCGGGGGATGCGAGCTAAATAATAATGAAAAAAAAAGATACTGCCACACAATGAAACATTCAATTATTATACTGTTTTCCCTGGAGAGTCCCAGCATACTGTATTGAACCCCACACTTGAACAAAGCACTCCACTAATATTAACAACATTTTGTAGTTTTCTTACTGTGTTTTAGAATTGATAACATTTTGGTTTTCATGACATTTCGTAACATTTTTGCATTCTTCCTAAGAATAAACAATATCTAATACATTTGTTGCTTATATTAATCAGAAAACTTTCATAAACATTTTATTTTACAGTATTTGATTTTATATTATGAATGCAATCTTTTATTTTGTAAGGGAATAATAAAAAATACTTATTTTTTGTGAAATTTATGTAAACCAAGAGTTTTGTTATTTAACATTTTACCAATGGAAAATATTGGTTATACTGTCTACACTCGGTAATCCAAATCATATGGGGCCCCGCCTTCTATGAGTTAGCCAAACTTTTGAACAAGAATATCCAAAATGAACAAATTTGCTATTTTGTGTACCACAACCCAGGTACTCGTGCTGTTTACCTTGCATTTTCATTGTTTACCCACCTACTCCTAGTTCCTCCCACAGTTTACCCATTCACTCCCACAATATACCTGGCTTCTGCAGTTTACCCATGTACTCCTGCCATTTATCTGGCTTCTCCCAGTTTACCCTTGCATTCCCACCATATACCCAGCTTCTCCCGCAGTTTACTCGCATACTTCCGCCATTTACTCAAAAATGATGAACAAGAATTCACCCAAAGATCTGGATTACCGAGCTTTTTCAGAGTTTGGAAATTTAAATAAAACTTAAACATTTTAACTGTACAGCAAGTGCAATAAACATTACAGTCTTATAAATAAATGAAAAACTCATACAAAGAAGGATGTGATGAGCTTATTAAAAGATATAAAATATATTTTGATGATCCTAGAAGCATTATTCTATATCACAAAGACATTGTGTATATCTTGACTATGTCAGTCCTTGACTACGTGGCTTCAACAATGAGTTGGCAATGGGAGGAGTACTGTACTAACACTGACAATGCACTTCTAAAATTAAATGCCTTTTCAACATGAATTAATTTGTTGCTTTGATTGTGGTTGACCTATATACAGTTACTTAACAAATAAACAAATGTTTATTCAACTTATGCCACAATCCTTAAAATAATCAGTTAACAATATACTGTACAGTAATGAGCATCGTCAATATCTAAACTGTACTAGACTGAAGACCACGATCTCACAGCATAATATACTCTTCATATGTGATGATATGAATACATAACAATTTATACATTTCAAACCTATTTTGCTAAGAACACAAAATATATATCGTTATTATTGACACTTTAAATTAAAAGTGTAAACTTTATCATTTATGTTTGTTTTATTGACACTAGGCTCGTGTAATACCATATTTTGCTGCACATTTTATATTTAGGGTTTCTTTATACAGTTATGAACTTTGTAGTGACAATCATCACATTCAAGCCACATTTTATGGTATTATGCTTTGACATTTTCAGTCATTAAGAAATGTTAACCACATGGGGCAAGAATCATACACTGATCAGTCACACTACATTTCTCTAAAAGGTCCTTTTCATTTGGCAGAATCATCACTGACTTGGTATTCTATCTCATTGCAGGACACCTGGATGCAACTGCCGCCACGAGTGCAGCACCACGTCCACTACCATCTTCAGAAAGCATAAGATCAAACTGAAATAAACAAGTACAAATTTAAAATGTTAATATTAAAGGAATTTCTTAATGCAAAATCTAAAATATTAGAGCAGAAATAAGACTTTAAAACATATTTCATACACAAATAGCAGCTTCATACAGTAAATACTACGGTGCTTACAAATTATGTTATATAAAATGCCTGTTACTAGGAATCTGTTTGTCTATGGTACTTTGTTCCCTCTCTGAAATCTTCCCTGGATATTTTAACCATCTCTAAGGTCTCAGCAAGTTAGAAAGCAAGCTAAATATTTATTAACCCTTGAAGAATATAATAATAATAATAATAATTTTTTAGGTAAAAATACATACAAAATGAGTTACAAGCAGAATGTTGGATTTCTAGATGGAGCTTGTATATACTATGCCTATTAAACTAGTAGATAGAGGGGCAGTCTATGGCATGATTGGAAAGGTCGTTCCACATTTTGGGACCCTTGATGGGCAGAGCATTTCTAGTTTGGTTAAGTCCGACTCTTGGAATGTCCAAAACATACTTGTTTCAAGTGTGGTGCCCATGGGTTCTGTTACAACTCTTTTTTTAGGGAGAATTTTAGATCAGGATTAGCATTACAGTTCAGAGTTTTATATATACTGTACAGTACAGTATGTATGTATGTGTGTGTGTGTGTGTGTGTGTGTAATTACCTAAGTGTAATTACCTAAGTGTAGTTACAGGATGAGAGCTACGCTCGTGGTGTCCCGTCTTCCCAGCACTCTTTGTCATATAACGCTTTGAAACTACTGACGGTCTTGGCCTCCACCACCTTCTCACTTAACTTGTTCCAACCGTCTACCACTCTATTTGCGAAGGTGAATTTTCTTATATTTCTTCGGCATCTGTGTTTAGCTAGTTTAAATCTATGACCTCTTGTTCTTGAAATTCCAGGTCTCAGGAAGTCTTCCCTGTCGATTATATCAATTCCTGTAACTATTTTGTATGTAGTGATCATATCACCTCTTTTTCTTCTGTCTTCTAGTTTTGGCATATTTAATGCTTCTAACCTCTCCTCGTAGCTCTTGCCCTTCAGTTCTGGGAGCCACTTAGTAGCATGTCTTTGCACCTTTTCCAGTTTGTTGATGTGCTTCTTAAGATATGGGCACCACACAACAGCTGCATATTCTAGCTTTGGCCTAACAAAAGTCATGAACAATTTCTTTAGTATATCGCCATCCATGTATTTAAATGCAATTCTGAAGTTAGAAAGCATAGCATAGGCTCCTTGCACAATATTCTTTATGTGGTCCTCAGGTGATAGTTTTCTATCTAGAACCACTCCTAGATCTCTTTCTTTATCAGAATTCTTTAAAGATTTCTCACATAATATATAGGTTGTGTGGGGTCTATGTTCTCCTATTCCACATTCCATAACATGACATTTATTAACATTAAATTCCATTTGCCAAGTGGTGCTCCATATACTTATTTTGTCCAGGTCTTCTTGAAGGGCATGACAGTCATCTAAATTTCTTATCCTTCCTATTATCTTAGCATCATCAGCAAACATGTTCATATAATTCTGTATACCAACTGGTAGATCATTTATGTACACAATAAACATCACTGGTGCAAGAACTGAACCCTGTGGTACTCCACTTGTGACATTTCTCCATTCTGATACATTGCCTCTGATTACTGCCCTCATTTTTCTATCAGTCAGAAAATTTTTCATCCATGATAGAAGCTTACCTGTCACCCCTCCAATATTTACCAGTTTCCAGAACAACCTCTTATGTGGAACTCTGTCGAAAGCCTTTTTTAGGTCCAGATAGATGCAGTCAACCCAACCATCTCTTTCCTGTAATATCTCTGTGGCTCGATCATAGAAACTGAGTAAATTCGATACACAGGATCTTCCAGATCGAAAACCATACTGTCTGTCTGATATTATATCATTTCTCTCTAGGTGTTCTACCCATTTAGTTTTGATTAGTTTTTCCAATACTTTCACTATTACACTTGTCAATGATACAGGTCTATAATTGAGGGGGTCTTCCCTGCTGCCACTTTTGTAGATTGGAACTATGTTAGCCTGTTTCCACCCGTCTGCTACGATTCCTGTACACAGGGATGCCTGAAAGATCAGGTGAAGTGGAATGCTGAGCTCAGATGCACATTCTCTCAGAACCCATGGTGAAACGCCATCTGGGCCAGCTGCTTTGTTCTTACCGAGCTCCTTGAGCATTTTTTCCACTTCGTCTCTAGACACCTCTATGTGTTCTATGTTGTTCTCTGGAATTCTTATTGTATCTGGTTCCCTAAAGATTTCATTTTGTACAAACACACTTTGGAACTTTTCGTTTAGTGTTTCACACATTTCCTTTTCATCTTCCGTGAATCTATTTCCCATTTTCAACCTCTGAATATTATCCTTTACCTGCAATTTGTTGTTTATGAATTTATAGAATAGACCTGGTTCTGTTTTACATTTGTCCGCAATCCCTTTTTCAAAATTTCTTTCTGCCTCTCTCCTCACTGCCGTGTAGTAGTGTAGTTGTAGTTGTAGGTGTGTGTGTGTGTGTGTGTGTGTGTGTGTGTGTGTGTGTGTGTGTGTGTGTGTGTGTGTGTGTGTGTGTGTGTGTGTGTGTGTGTGTGTGTGTGTGTGTGTGTGTGTGTGTGTGTGTGTGTGTGTGTGTGTGTGTGTGTGTGTGTGTGTGTGTGTGTGTGTGTGTGTGTGTGTGTGTGTGTGTGTGTGTGTGTGTGTGTGTGTGTGTGTGTGTGTGTGTGTGTGTGTGTGTGTGTGTGTGTGTGTGTGTGTGTGTGTGTGTGTGTGTGTGTGTGTGTGTGTGTGTGTGTGTGTGTGTGTGTGTGTGTGTGTGTGTGTGTGTGTGTGTGTGTGTGTGTGTGTGTGTGTGTGTGTGTGTGTGTGTGTGTGTGTGTGTGTGTGTGTGTGTGTGTGTGTGTGTGTGTGTGTGTGTGTGTGTGTGTGTGTGTGTGTGTGTGTGTGTGTGTGTGTGTGTGTGTGTGTGTGTGTGTGTGTGTGTGTGTGTGTGTGTGTGTGTGTGTGTGTGTGTGTGTGTGTGTGTGTGTGTGTGTGTGTGTGTGTGTGTGTGTGTGTGTGTGTGTGTGTGTGTGTGTGTGTGTGTGTGTGTGTGTGTGTGTGTGTGTGTGTGTGTGTGTGTGTGTGTGTGTGTGTGTGTGTGTGTGTGTGTGTGTGTGTGTGTGTGTGTGTGTGTGTGTGTGTGTGTGTGTGTGTGTGTGTGTGTGTGTGTGTGTGTGTGTGTGTGTGTGTGTGTGTGTGTGTGTGTGTGTGTGTGTGTGTGTGTGTGTGTGTGTGTGTGTGTGTGTGTGTGTGTGTGTGTGTGTGTGTGTGTGTGTGTGTGTGTGTGTGTGTGTGTGTGTGTGTGTGTGTGTGTGTGTGTGTGTGTGTGTGTGTGTGTGTGTGTGTGTGTGTGTGTGTGTGTGTGTGTGTGTGTGTGTGTGTGTGTGTGTGTGTGTGTGTGTGTGTGTGTGTGTGTGTGTGTGTGTGTGTGTGTGTGTGTGTGTGTGTGTGTGTGTGTGTGTGTGTGTGTGTGTGTGTGTGTGTGTGTGTGTGTGTGTGTGTGTGTGTGTGTGTGTGTGTATATATATATATATATATATATATATATATATATATATATATATATATAAAGCTTCCCATTCTAGTAGACTACAGTATACACTAATACTGTACATGAAAACATTCTCACTTCACTATAATATGCCGTTTCATGTAAAAGAATGTAATGGACTTTTCCCAATTCAATTTGAATCAAGATTTATTAAATAAAGTAGGCCTGCTCTATTAACAATATCACACATTGAAGGTCTTGGTAGTATAGTCGAGTTCATTCTCGACACACAATCTAGAATTCCAGGTTTTAATCCCAGGCAGCACAGAAATAGTTGGACGCATTGTCTTTCACCCCCCAGCCCCTGTCTACCTAGCAGTAAATAGGTACCCAGGAGTTAGTCACCTTGTTATTGGGTTGCATCCTGGGTGGGGTCAGTAATTCGACCCTGGGGGTAAGGGGGGGCCTTGGTATAAGCCTAACATGTACTGTATGTATAACCTGTCTTCCTGTTCCCCGACACAATGAATTATTATTATTATTGCTAACAATTTTCATTATAAAATGGCAGCCGAACTCTCCACAGTACCTGCTACATGGCAGCAAACTTCTGAACTATAATGTGCGCTTGACGAATGCAGGGACACCAATGACCTTGGTTGGCCTGGTGATTGCTGGTTACAAAGCCCCAACCGAGAGCCAAGGAGTCCATGAAAATCTTGAGAAAGGATGGAGGAAGGCGCCAGGAATCTGAACCCCAAAAACCCTGAACAGGAAGCTGGTGGCACAGCAACCAATGCATGGCCACTGGAGTCCAACCCAGCAAGAGCAAAAGGGGCTGCCCTGAAAAAAATCAGAACCGCCATCGAAGCTAAAACCCTGCCCAAGGGAAAAATGGGAAGGGCAAAGTTCAGGCTTCCACACAATTGCTTGAGCAACCGCTGAGTCACCCAGCTCCCCTTCAACACCGGAACCTTAATTGTTAGGTGGTCACTGCTTGAAACCTCTGAACGTCAAGAGGCAAATGAGTGAGAAGAGCCACATGGGGGGAATAAGTCCCCACATGGTTTGGGGTTGAAGGTATCACCGACCCAACAGGCAGCATGATGGAGTCAGAACGTATGATCATTGCCAGGTGACACAAGAGATGAACAACCCTCAAATTCACACAAGGTGAGAGCAGGCTTGGAAGAAGTATCCACAGTACAACCGAACCCATGAGGGTTTCCAGGGCCTGCAGGAAGCCTAGGCACCAGGAATGTTATGCCGGGCACTGAACCCTTTCAGAACAGGCAACTCCTCACTGCCAAAAGCCAATGGAAAATTTAAGTGGATGACAAGAGAATTCAATCGCACATATCCTAGGCTAAGCCTGGGCACCTTCTTCAATTCTATCATACAACTTGATAATTGTCCAGAACGGACTGAAACGCCGTCATTTC